GACAGAAAAAAAGAGAAGTGAAACAAAACACTTTGATAAATCCATTGTGTTGCCAAAAAAATGGCATACATTCAGTAACTACGTTTAGGTTGCAAAAGCAGCAAGAGTTGGAAAAATCCTGACAGATTTAATCAATTGTGACAACTAATCTCAAAAAATCAGACATACACTGAACAAAATTATAAACACAACTCTTTTGTTTTTGCCCCCATTTTTTATGAGCTGATCTCAAAGATCTAAGACTTTTTCTATGTTCACAAAAGGCCTATTTCTCTCAAACATTGTGCACAAATCTGTCTAAATCTGTGTTAGTGGGGGCGTGGCTAGCCAAGGAGCAAGATGGACGTGTGAAACCTTGCTCCGGCGAAGTGGCACAGAATCTCAAGCAATCCCGGCCATCTACAGCCCATCTGACCCAGCGGTGCAGATATGTCCCAACACAGAAGTAAGAAAAGCTTGGCGAAACAAGATAAAATCACCTTTTTCAGTCAGAAACAGGGATCTGCGAACATGGCGGCGCAGGCCTCAATCCTGGATGGGAGTTTGGAGTCGGATGGCAGTGCGGCTAAAGGCAACCCAGCGCTACCAGAGGAATCCTCTCAACTTACAAAAGCGGACCTCACACTAGCATTAGAGGCTCTCTCTACTAAATTAATCTCAACGTGGCAACATATGATGGACTCCATGAGAAAGGACATCCAAGAACTGGGTAGACGGACGTCACACATGGAGGATAAATATGATGAATTCACCACAGCCCATAACGATCTAGCTACAAACGTGGAAAGTATGGCGGCCAAAATTGAAGCTTTGGAGGGGAAATTAGTGGACCTAGAGGACCGATCCCGCTGAAATAATTTGAGATTGCGGGGAGTCCCAGAGACAGTCACCAACGCGGACTTACCTGCTTATGTACGAAGCCTCCTGAACGCATACGCCCCTGAGATACCGGCGGACATGCTGTTGGTAGATCGGGTCCATCGTATGCCCAAACCACGCCACCTTCCACAAACAACGCCTAGGGACGTGGTACTACGAGCACACTATTTCCATGTTAAGGAACATATCCTCCGAGGCAGCAGATTGAGATCCAAACCGCCAGCAGAATACTCTACTATCAAGATTTTTGCGGATCTATCCGCCGTAACATTGAAACGGAGAAAAGAATTTCAACAAGTAACGGCCACCCTGAGGAAACATGGCATCAGATATAAATGGGGCTACCCCACCAAATTGATAGCTACCAAAGATGGGGTTACTATACTTATGGGTACCCCGGAAGAAGGGTTGCAACACCTGCGAGAGTGGGATCTCCAAATTGAGAAGACACAAACACCTATACCGCCAGTGAAAGCGCTGAACTCAGATTGGAACACAGTACGCGAGAAACGTTAAAGCCAGCACGATACTGGTAAGCAATGGACATGACATACATGAACTCTACTGAGTGACAGTGGGCAGCTCTCACTGGGGAAACCTGGCCTGTTCCCTCCCTCCTCCCGGGCAACATCGCTCCTATTGCCTCCAAAGGGCGCACGGATGGAATCTTCCGGTTCGGGACACGTGGCCTGGGCCCTGGTCTCCCGCCGCCCTTGTGACAAGGCGCGAGCAGAGCAGGGGAGCACTGCGGGGGGCCCGGACCCGGACCGGGTGGTGGGGTCGTGGACTTAGTGTACGAACTTCTCCTCATCACCACCATTGATTGCTTTGACCTTACGTACCCGCAAAAGACGAACTGACGATGGGAACTAAAGGGGCCGCCTGGCCCGTGAACAAGCCGGTCAGGACTCACATTCGGGAACTGGAGGGTATGCATAACATTGTCCTGGGTTGACCCCCCCCCTTCATAGTGGAACAGGTAGCTGTGAAAAAAAAAAAAAAATCCACATGATCAGCAAGGTACACTGTGGGGGGCCCGGAAGGGGGGAAGGGGGGCCGGGAGGAGCTGTTATGTTATTCTTTCATGATTTCAAGCTGACATGGCGACAGGGTTGTGTACTTGATAACTTTATACACAAAGAGTTGAAAAACAATATACCTACCGCACCAGTACTCTAAAAAGAATATAGACAAGACTATGCCTGTGAGGCTAGTAAGCCCCTTAAGGCACGAAATAGAGGAAAGGTCGGGACATAGGATAGGGCCTGGACCAGCGCACCTCAGCGAATTAAACTAGCCCTTACTATTAAACAGTTAACTCGGGTGTCGCTTGGCCCGCAGGCTATTCACACGAATACGAAAGTGCCCTAAACCACGTTAATGGAAGGAATTACTTCCTGTACTCCCCCAGATGTGGTAAATCCACATAAAGTCTCCACGAGACGCTCTGTACATAGTTATATATCCCACCCCACTTTCCTTCCCGAGACCACACCAATCCCCAAGTCGGTCACACCACTTCGGAGACCATACCAAACACTTCTTAGGTCACCGATGTTACATTCATGCAAAGCACCTAGTGGATTTACCTCCAGAAATACAGAATAGCCCATGGACGGGGCCCCCACACTTACCATGAAGTCAATACTGCAACCCAGCTGGGCCCAAGAGCAGACACCTACACAGCCCTACTAAAGTATGAGATTGTACTCCATTAACGCCAGGGGGTTGAATACCCCGCACAAACGGAGGCTTCTGATAACAGAGGCAAAAAAACTGAACTCCGATATCCTATGTATACAGGAGACACACTTTGTCCACAATAAAGTACCTAGTTTTGCCACCAGAGACTACCCCATGCAGCACCATTCAACTTATACCTCTAAATCGAGGGGGGTATCATTTCTCATCCACGCTTCAATCTCATTTGAGCTCTTGCACATTAAAAAAGATGCGCAGGGCAGATACCTCATTTTACAGTGCAAGCTCAATAACGAGCTGTATAATTTAGTGGGAATATATAGCCCAAACGAGAATCAAAGATCGTACTTGCAAAAAGTACTGTCCAAACTCCCAACTGTCTATCAGACCCCCACAATAATATGTGGCGATCTGAACCATACGTTACAGACAGGCTTAGACACCACCCTACCAGAATCCTCGCCTAGGTTTAAACTCCTGGGAAAACAAGCAGCACCCCTCATGAAACTGCTTTCTGAATATAATTTATACGATGCCTGGCGACTACACCACCCGAATGACCGGGAATTCACGTTTTATTCCCCAGTGCATAAAACATACACCAGGATAGATTATATATTCGTATCTGGGGATCTCATACAAAGGACTCAACACAGTGAAATCGGAAATATTGTATGGTCTGACCATGGCCCGGTAATACTAACATTAACTGACACATTCACAACATGGGGACAGACACCATGGCGTCTAGGCGACCGGCTCCTATTTAACCCAGACGTGAAAACCAAACTCATGGAAGAAATAACCTCCTTCTTCACTATAAACGATACCCCTGATATATCAGCGACTACATTGTGGCAAACACATAAGGCGGTCATTAGAGGCTCCCTGATTAGCCAAGCTTCTCACCTAAATAAACAGTCAAAACAAGAATACATTTCCTTATTGAAATCCCTAAGAGACGAAACAAATGCACAGATACTAGCCCCAAACCCCGCCACACAACAACGCATAGATGACATAAGAGGACAGCTAAATGATATCCACGTGAAGGTTACAGCCTCAATAGCGCATAAGTTAAAGTTGACAACCTATACCCAAGGCAATAGAGCAGGGAAGACCCTAGCCAGGATGTTACGACAAAAATGACACAATGCCAAAATCCCATATCTCATAGATGCAATGGGCCATAAAATTTATAATCCTCAAACAATCAACGACATGCTAGCAGACTACTACACCGCGCTATATAATTTGCAGGACGACAAGCATACACATCAGCCACTACAGACAGAGATAGATAAATTTATAGAGAATGCGCAGCTGCCACAACTTACACAAGCAGACCAATCCCTACTGACGGAACCTGTCACCCAACAAGAAATTGAAACCATAATTAAAACACTCCCCAAGGGGAAATCCCCAGGCCCAGATGGGTTTACAAACTTATACTACAAAATCTTCTCCAATCTGCTAACCCCACACTTAGAAAAGCTATACAACCACATATTAACCATGGGCGCCATACCGCAGGTAATGTTGCTTGCTCATATTACGACCTTGCCTAAACCGGGAAAACCACCTAATAAGTGTCAAAATCTGCGTCTTATATCATTACTTAATACGGATTTGAAAATCCTTGCTAAAATCTATGCTAACAGGCTTGGGGGCCTCATGCCAAAACTAATAAAAGATGATCAAGTGGGGTTTGTCCGCGGCAGGCAGGGCTCCGACGGAACTAGGAAATTGATCAACATTTTTCACACGATACAAAAAACGGGGGAGCCCAGTGTGGCAATGTCACTGGATGCAGAAAAAGCATTTGACAGGCTACACTGGGACTACCTAAAAACAGCCCTTCGCAAGTATGCATTCCCAGAGGGGTTTATAACTTTAATATCAGCGCTCTATGGTAACCCAGCAGCAAAAATCTCTAATGGGGGCTTTACATCCAAAACATTGCGTATCTCCAATGGATCTAGACAGGGCTGCCCACTTTCCCCCCTACTCTACATATTATCGCTAGAACCGCTGGCCCAACATATCAGGAACTCACACCATGTCCATGGGATACATATAGGCAAGAGAACGCATAAAATCACCCTCTTCGCTGACGATGTCATGCTAACCCTCTCCAAGCCGGAGACATCCCTCCCAACGCTTCAACATATATTGGCAGAATTTAGCAACTGTTCATACTACAAACTTAACGCTGCTAAGACACAAGTCATGGGTCTAAACATAAATAAAGGGCAACTTAAGCACCTACAATCCACACATACATACGACTGGAAACAAAATCACCTAACCTTTCTGGGCATAGACCTTACACCCCAGATACATCAATTATATAAAGCAAATTACAGGAAGTTACTTAGTTCCATCCAACAACAATTACAAAGTTGGAAAAAGAAGTATGTCTCATGGATGGGAAGAATAGCAGCTGTCAAAATGTTGGTATTGCCTAGACTGCAATATCTCTTCCGAACACTCCAGATAAAATTGCCAAAACAATTTCTCAAGGAGTCTCAAAGATGTATAACTCAATTTGTCTGGGGGGAAAACGTTCTAGGGTAGCGGCAGATGTCATGTATAAACCTTTCAAAGAGGGCGGGATGGGGATGCCAAATAAAGCACGATACTATAAGGCAGCTATGATAAGCACACTAATAAACACGTTTCATTATACCAACCCACCACCATGGAGTCAAATGGAAACTGCCCAGGCGGCGGGGCTCACAATACCAATGCTGGCCTGGCTGCCTAACGCGTATAGACCCAAGCACCATAAAATTAGCCCGACAACGGCAGCGACACTCCAGGCCTGGGATGAGCTCATTGGGAGAAGCTGCTTAGACATGTACATATCCCCAGCTCTGCCACTCCAAGCACACAAAGTCCTTATCCCGGGTTTCGACTATAACTTGTGGAACAAACATGGGGTCACATATCTATCGTAAATGATGGTTGGTGGGCGTTTGGCAGAGTTCTCATCCCTTACCCAGCAATTTAACCTTCCAGGGAGGGCATACTTTTCATACTTGCAATTAAAAGCATGAGTAGGGAAACATACTGTCCCGAACAAGTCTCAAAAACAAAGCACTTTGCTGACAGAGATGGAAAAACTTTGTATAGCCCCTAAACCTCCTCCCAAGATGCTATCGAACTTATATCGATTAATCACGAAATATGATCAATCTCCAGAACCCAATTTTAAAAGGGCATGGGAAAAAGACATAAATAGAGCAGTACCAGACGACCTATGGTCAAAAATATTTATGGCGCACAAAACCCTTACGTTAAACACCACACGTTAAAAAACCCTTACGTTAAACACATTGAAATTAGCAGGAAAGTGCTATATAGGACGTATTTGGTACCTGCTAAACTTCATAAAATCGATCTGAATAGACCTCAGTCATGTTGGAGATGTCAGTCTGAGCTGGGGACAATGATCCACATATGGTGGTCTTGCACGAGGCTTAAGACATTTGGGGAAGATGTCTCAGCCACGATTAAAACAATTACAGGCAAAATACTGCCACACACACCAGAAACGTATCTATTGCTGGTGATGCCACAAGATTTCCAAAAAGCTGATCTCTATCTAACATATCATATCATCATTGCTGCTCTGGCTGCAATTGGGAGGTCATGGCTAAAAACATACCCACCGGACATCCAACAATGCCTAGGGGAAATAGACACCACCAAAAAATACGAAATTGAAACATGAAGGATGAGACCCAGAAATACAATATGGTCCACAGCATGGGACAAATGGGAAATATGGCGACAGCATAAAGGCGCACCCACATAATTGGTACAGTGTCCACTCAGGATACATATGGGTTTCGTGTGATAACAGACCGACACCCCCCCCCTCCCTCTAGTGTTCCCAGTTATTCCCCCTCTACATTATTAAAGAAGGAAGGGACATGAGATGTAAGCCGATGTCCATAAGTTGACAAAGCATTGAACTCCAAACTGAGATACCTTATGAAACATATGACGATGTAATATTAATGTTGTGTTTAACTGTACATGTTTCGCCCCTTGCACGGGGACATACTATACAAATGATGTCTGCTCCCTCACCCTCTTCCTTTTGTATCCCCTCATGCAAACTGAAAATAAAAAAAAATTCTGGGTAAATCTGTGTTAGTGAGCACTTGATTATTGCACAGGTGTGCCTTAGGATGGCACAATAAAAGGCCACTCTAAAATGTGCAGTTTTATCACACAGCACAATGCCACAGATGTTGCAAGTTTTGAGGGAGCGTGTTATTGGCATGCTGACTGCAGGCAAGGCCGGATTAACATAGGGGCTGATGGAGCTGCAGCTATAGGCCCAGGCCCAGGCCCATGGAATAGGCCCATGGAATAGGCCCATGGAATAGGCCCATTGATTGTAAAAAAAAAAAAAAATTTTTTGACACACTACTCTTAGGGTTGCCACCTGGCTGGTATTTATTTAAGGCTGCCTAGCCGATGCCGATATTGCAGTTATACCGCATTGAGAGGCCCCCCTCCTTCCCCCGGGACTCCTCAATACAGTAAAACTGCATATTTTAGAGTGGCCTTTTATTGTGGCCAGCCTAAGGCACACCTGTGCAATAATCATGCTGTCTAATCAGCATCTTGATATGCCACACCTGTGAGGTGGATGGATAATCTCGGCAAAGGAGAAGTGCTCACTAACACAGATTTAGACAGATTTGTGAACAATATTTGAGAGAAATAGGCCTTTTGTGTACATAGAGTCTTGCGTCCATAATTTTGTCAAATGTAGATATGTCATCAACACTTTGATAAATCTCCCCTTTTCTGGTTTTAAGATCCATGAAATAAATGTACATTTTCTATTTAAAAATTAACAGATAGATTTGAGAAATCCCACTCAGGTGCACCAGCAAATCTCCTGGTATCAGTACTGTAAAGCATTCGGACTAATAGGGCATAACCCTTTAACTATTTGAAATCAGAAAATAAAAACATGGGGCTCTTCAATAAAACCTAGTGCTGTCAGAATAATCACAGCTGGTAGTTTATAAAATGCAAAGGAATAAAAAAAATGGAGAGACTGAAAGAAAAGTATTGACAGTTAACGTGTAGCCCAATATGGTACACAAAGTATCATGTCTCAGACTGACACGGTACGTAGACACCCAACAATAATAAGGTTTTTACCAGTCAATTATCATCATTTCTGGACTTTATTAATACAGGTCTTTCATCGGGTTACAATAAAACATAGTTGTGGGTTTCACCTTCTCAACTCCTAAATGAAAAACAGGCTATAAGAGATAAACTACCAGTTTGCAGGTGCACCCAATCTCACCTAGAACTAGTCCAATCTCTGTGTCACCATCCATATAATAAGTTGAACAAACTAGAGATAAGAATGAGAGGAGGGGAAAAGACACTACCCAATGGGGGTCTGTAATGCAATAAGGCGTTTTTAGTTACAGAAGTGTGTTTATTCCTGTCTCTAAGTGAAAATGTGCATTAGACAGTTCTGGGAAAGATATATATATATATATATATGTTTTTTTTTATTTTTAATTATCCATAAAATAATAATAATTAGGAACCGGCTGTGACAATTTTGATTGTTCTGAGTATAATCAAGTTTTCTTTTTCCTAATTAGTTTTTGTACAAATATAAAACAAAAATACAAACCTTGATTCCTAATGCCATAGTGTCCCTGTCCATAGTTAAATACATGCCCACCCATTTGCCATGAAATAAAAAAAATAAAAGGTTTTACTCATCTTTTTCTTGGCGTTTGGCGCTCACCTCTCCGCCTCCCGCGCCATCATGGAGAAGACATGGCCTGCACCACGATGTTCAAATGCAATGCTCATCATACTCATCCCCCATCCACATTTACATATGCCCCTCTCTGCTACACTCCCCCCTTCTCTCATCTCATGCCTTACACTCATTTCTCTACTCTCTCACTCTGACCCACAATCGATCTCATCCTAGACCGCATGCATACAAAACCCATTCACACCTCCTGTCACTTTCTCTCCTCCTACTTCTAGCAGCTGGTGATGTCTCTCCCAATCCAGGGCCCTTCACCTTCTCTACACACACTAAGACAACCAGAAATCCCACAAACCTCATCACAATACCCTGCCCTTTACCCTCACTTACCAAAATTCATTGTGCACTCTGGAATGTCCGCTCCATCTGCAGTAATTTAAAATCAACAACCATACACGACTTTTTCATCTCAAACTCACTCACACTGCTTGCACTTACAGAGACCTGGGTGTCCCCCTCTCATAGCGCTACTCCTGCCTCTTTATGTTTTGGTGGATTACAATTCTCTCACACTCCCAGACTTCACTGTAAAGGAGGCGGCGTAGGCATCCTTCTCTCCCCTTAATGTACCTTTCAACCAATCATAACTCCCCCTGCCCTATCTTTTTCTTCTCTTGAAGTTCACACTGTCCGCCTATTTAAACCTACTCCTTTAAGAATTGCTATCATCTACCGCCCCCCCCTGGTTATCTTAGACTATTCATTGAGCACTTTTCTTCCTGGCTTCCCCACTTCTTCTCATCTAGCACTCCTTCCCTTATACTTGGGGATTTCAATATCCCAATCAACAACCCCAATTGCACTGATGCCTCTCATCTGCTCTCTGTAACCTCCTCATTTGACCTTACGCAATGGTCCAATTTAGCAACCCATACAGCGGGAAATACTCTTGATCTTGCAAGACTGACAGACTTCCTCGAGTCCAACTCTCTGCTAGACCTGCTTCAGTCTGGTTTCCACGCTAAGCACTCTGTGGAAACGGCACTGACCAAAGTATCCAATGATCTACTCGCTGCAAAATCTCGTGGTCACTACTCTATCCTAATTCTCCTTGACCTGTCTGCGGCTTTTGACACTGTTGATCATCAACCGCTTCTTCTCATCCTCCGCAATATCGGTCTACAAGATATTGCTCTCTCCTGGTGCTCCTCCTACCTCTCCCAGCGCTCTTTCAGTGTTTCTTTCTCTGGCTCTGCTTCTTCTCCCCAACTCCTCTCTGTTGGTGTCCCCCAAGGTTCAGTCCTTGGTCCCCTACTGTTATCCATCTATAGTGCCTCCCTTGGTAAACTCATTAGCTCCTTTGGCTTCCAATATCATTTCAATGCAGATGACACGCAAATCTACCTGTCCTCTCCTGATCTCTCCTCGTCCCTCTTGACTAGTGTATCTGAATGCCTTTCTGCTGTTTCTAACTGGATGGCTGCCCACTTCCTTAAACTAAACTTGACCAAAACTGAAATTCTGGTCTTTCCTCCCTCAAGTGTTGTTACTCCTGTGTCTGTCTCCCTCCAAGTCAACGGTGCTACCATCAGCTCCACCACGCAGGCTCGCTGCCTAGGCGGCGGCGAGGCTCATCTTCCTGTCCGCCTGCACCTCCCATGCCTCACTCTTCTGTCAGTCCCTACATTGTATATTATGTAAAATATAGAGCTCAATTTAAAATTCTGGTTCTTGCTTTAAAATCTCTACATAATGCTGCTCCCACCTATCTATCCTCCGTAATACACAAGTATGTCCCGTCTAGGCCCTTACGATCTGCTGAAGACTTACATCTATCTTCTGTCCGTACTCCCACCTCTGATGCTCGCCTTCAAGACTTATCGAGGGCTGCACTGTTCCTGTGGAACTCACTTCCCTCCTCCGTTAGATGCTCACCCAGTCTCCACTCCTTCAAAAAATTTTAAAAAACCCACTTCTTCATAAAAGCGTATAAATTAAACTGTTAATAGCTCCTGACTGATTCCTCTCTTGCAACTGTCACTTTTTTGTGTCATTTTACTCCACTCCCTCTAGCATGTAAGCTCATTGAGCAGGCCCCTCAACCCCTTCCTGTGTGTCCAACTTGTCTGGTTACAACTACATGTCTGTTCGTCCACCCGTTGTAAAGCGCTGCAGAATTTGATGGCG